GAGATAATAGGTAGACTACAAAACATATTTCAATCTACCATGTCATAAGCAGAATATTTATTTCATCAATGACATCTCATTAAAGTGCCTGCCTCATTTAAACTTAGAATTTTTAATATAGATTTTTGTTTATTCTAAACCTAGGCAGTTTTTGCATAACACTTCGTTCAAAAAGTCATTAAGTTACATTCTTTTATTTACGTTTGTTATTCTTTAGAGATAATATCTGTTTTGCCCGTGGGAGGTATTTTGTTGCAATGCTGTGTTGAAGAATGTCGACAGCAATGTCCTTCGATGACAAGCTAGATGGTATCTCTAATAATTCCTATGTTTGAATACATTTATTTTATGGTTTTAATGTTTCTTTATTTTCAATTATGATTGTATTATATTATATTTAATGATTTGATTCTGTTTGCTTTAAAATCTTGCTAATTGTTAATTTGGTTTAGTGTATTTTATTCCGTTGAATTCTATTTTGTGTATTAATTCATTTGTTTTGTAATTTCTTTTTATTTATTGTGTGTATAATGATTTTGATCTACTGATTTAATTTTCCTGTTGTTTTTTAGTGCAAAGCTACACAATGGGCCATCTGCATTCTGTCCACAGCAGGGAATTGAACGTTTAATTTTAGCGGTGTGAGTCCATAAACTTACTGCTGATCAACTGGGGGACTTTAATTTTGATAATTTGAGTTGAGTTTCAGTTTGATTTTATTTTTTTAACTGGTTGCTGGAGTTTATGTGTTACCCTTTGTTATGTTCGTGTAGATGTCATGGGTTCTTGTGTGACAATATTATTTTAAAGTTCGGGGCAAGGGTGCCCTGAGGTAAGAAATTGGAGAATTGCAATGCCTGAAATACTCAAGAATTTTATCCTACCACAACTAGTTTAGAATTTATCTTTAGTTAGATATATTCAGGTAAATTGTTCTAAATTTTCACGTGATGAGCTACATTTACTATTACTCGTTAACCTAATGTAGAAAAGTCTTAAACATGTATCAAATAAAATGAAATTGGTCAGTTTACTAACGTCTTCGCTTTGATAGATAATATAACCTGCTGAAAATTTTCTTTACAACAGTCACGTGGTTTGGCATCTTTTGAGTTCTCTGAGAGGATGTCAGAAAATGGGAACTGTCATAAACGCGGGAAACATGGCCTTTACATTCGAGACTTAAGGAATCAACAGCAGTTAATAAACCAAGGATACTATATCCTACGAATGAGTCTCAGAATCAAAATCCAACCTGACTAAAGGAACAACGAAGAACTAACTAGACATCGAAGAAACAAGAATTAACTGTCTTGTGGAACAATGTTCAGCTGAGAAGATTCAACGTGCACAAATGAGATAAGAAGCTCAATATTTAATGAAACCACTTTACGAGCTCAATTATTATTTTAAGACATTGGATTTATAAATTCCAGCCTTGAAAAGGGCCGTATCCTAGTGTGCGTAATTCAAGCTTAAACCAAAATTAAAAAATTTTTAATCTGAGCTTAAATCAAAATTTATAAACCATCTTAGTAATTTGACCTTGTTACACTATCATTCAGTCTGTAATAATTAATGAAGTTAAAGTTTATATCACAATGTCTCTTTGGCAAATTTTCAGCGAACTCTTGTCTGCATAACTCTGCTCATACCAAAAGGAAAATCTCCTTGACCGACGTCTTCACCACGTGTGTAAACAAACACACGTGCTCCAATTACGTTCCCGAATCCAACAGATCAAACATCAACCAAGAAAAGCTCTCCTTCTTTCCGATTATCTTGAGGCGACTTCAACATCATTATTTATAATTAAAAGCTCTTCGTTAATCCAGACCCTTATAATCTAGCACCATTTAATCTTAATTCTCGTCAACACACCGCCGCTATCTGAAAAACCCACTTTGCCACTAAAAATATTAAACCTCATTCCGCGAGCGGGGCGAAGAGAAACAACTGTTTCTGAGCGCCCCTGTTTGTCTCTCTAACCCCTTTGGAGTTTATTAGATTTTAACCAAAATACTACCAAGTATTAGTAGTCAACAAATTTATCCATTTGCCCGGATATTATTACACCTAGCCCTATTTTAAAGGTAAACAATAACTTGCTAGAGGGCCTTATTTAATATTTCAATGACAATTAAAGCTTTCAAATAATGAATTTTCCTTTGCTTTCAAGTTTTTTTTATGTTATCTCCACTGCAGTTATTTAATAGTTTCTTTTTTAATATAAAACGTCTTTTATGAATGAGATGATTACGTCATTGGTTTCTAGCAGATTATCAGTAGCATCGAAGTACAAGTTTTATATAAAATTGTCTCTGTGAGTTGAGTGAAAACTGTTTGGTTCCAAATGAACTTGAAATAATACATTACATGGAACACCTGAAGGCAGAAGTGATATGAAGTAGCTGTACTTCTTCATAAGGGAATTGCCAGATACTACAAAATAAAAAAATAATTTGGAGTTTATAGTAAACATTACATTTTTTCACTTGAAGATCCTGGGATAGGTGATTCTGATGTTCATGGATCGAAGGCCCATTGCTGCAAAAATGTGATCCTCATTATGAGGATATGTGTGTGCTATAAAAGTAATGGTCAAATCCCACTATTCACTCCCAAAAAGATGGTTGTCTAGCTGTCTTTCCTCTAATACTGTTGTGCACAAACTATGTGGTATGGAGAGAGGTACAACTATGAGTACAGAAGCATATAAATTATGTTTGAATGTACAAGCTTAAAAATAAGTTTCCAAAACTACCATACAAATATTGCTATTATCAAGTAATATAGTAAAAACAGTTAACATGGGAAAATGATGTACAATATATATATGCAAGTGGGTTATACAAGATGCGGGAGCAGAAAATGTATTTAGAAAGGAGAGGCCAGGAAAAGTTTGCACACCACTCCTCTTGTAAATCATTTCAAAATTATGAGCAGCTATGCACAGATAACCCTTCGTATATTTTTGTGTTTAAATTTTGAAACAAAAACTCGTAGCCCAATTCAAATATATTCACACTATTACTTTTAAGACAATGGCCATGTCAACTCGTGACTAAGTTGAGCGAAGCATCAATATATTATTAGGTTTTATCACTTGGCACACAAACACTCCCATCAACCATTTGGTTTGTAATGAGTACCAAAGAAGCTGTTTATTAGTTCTATTGTGTAAAGTATCTATACAAATTAACATTTGAGATTTAATAAAAGTGTAGCCATCACCATGACATATTAACAAAATTCATATCAATTAAACACTAATGACCAATTATTAATAAATTTATGACATAACTAGAATTTTTTGTTGAACTAGTATATAAAGCGTACTTTCCCGAACTTTAAAAATATCTAGGAATTCACAACAAAATAGGTCTTTGCATACCTTTGGCACCTTGCAAAAATTATGGTTAATAAGAATAAATGTACTTAACCAAAATTTAATCTAGGAATAGTATTGGAGGAAATCATCTGTATTACGTAGTAAATATTTAAACAAAGGGGTTCCAAGTTCTCTTCATTATCAAGTATGTCTTGTTAACTTTAAATGGAAGTAAAATTATGATGAGTTTCATTATTGAATTATTTAAGTTATGACCAATTTCTAGTTTCCAATTTTGTGGAAAACCATGTACAACACAAACTTTAAATTTTAAAATCGGCAAAGTCAGGCTTACTCCTCATATAATACTAGAAAATTTCTCTCAACAGATGGTTAGTCATTTCTCCTCCTGAGTTAATGCAATATTTAATTACTTCTATTTTAACACTTGCTTCTGAACCAACAACAGTGCAAGTGAACATATGTTGAAAATTATGAACATCAATAAAGATCTAAAGTGGCCCAATGCATCAAAAACAATAAAATGGAAAAGAAATGTGCTTTACGATGGTTGTTCATATTAACTAGCATATACTCTAGCAAAATGTGATGTTGTGCATGCCACACTGATAGTACCATGTTTCAAAGTTGTATTTTAATATAGAGGGTTTAGTGAAAGTAACACAATCTAACTTGGAATTATCCTCTGAGAAGTGCAAAATTAATAATTATTGTACCTACATAGCTGTTTTTGGTACGTTTTTATTCCATGCCCCATTCAGGACTTCAGTCTCCTAAAGCTTAAAACATGTGTAAATAATAAGGTAAGATGAAGGATAGGTAACAACAAGTATAGGTGAGATGCACTGCTTCACAGAAAAAATCACATCTTTTTTTTCAAGGGATTGATAACCATTTCTGCTGGTAGCCTGACTTCTTCATGTTTACTGTGAATTTCTGTTTGTGATCTCTGATTGGAACAATCATCTATTCAGCAACACCTCTCAAATATGTCCTGTTCTTTCCCAAACATGATAATAATCTGATAAAAAGATATTAAGACTCCAATCATGGCATGTGATGCTCGGATACAAGAGCAGTGAGATATTGTGCTCATTTTGTACTAGGCTTTCATCATCACCAGCACACATCTTTGCCCTTTCCAATATTACATAAAAAGCACGTATGTGATACCCCTGCTTGTGGTTGGGATTTTGTTAGCAAGTGTGATGCATGTAAATACACAAACAATATTGATGTTTCATTTGAGTACTGGTCAGATTAAATAAAACATAGATTTCTTTCAAAGAAATACCATGTATTGACATAAAATATATATTGATGATTTGCTTGACCATTATGTTGTTTAAATCACCACGTTAATAAAATATGATAATGTGTCTCCATGTTTTTGAGCCGGTATATCATTTTTCACTTGCTAATAAATTTTTTTTTTTCACTAATAATTTCAAAAATTGTTAACTCAAAACTTACTGTAGGTCAGTCTGCAAACTGTAGTAGCAGCCATATAGATGTAACATGCTGTAAGCAATCTTATAGCATCTATCAATATATCTGTCAACCAAGTAATATGTTGAATAATTTAGACCCTTGATAAAACCCACATTTACATTTTTAGTACAAAATAAGACTCATATGCCAGATATACTGACTGCACAAGTTAATCAATTTTTATGATAATATGATGTTTGTAGAGGGAAGCTCCATTTCATGGGTTAATTTAGATTTTTTTTTCATTACAAAAGATGGAAAATAATACCTAAAATGATGTAGGTACACTTAGTTAACATAAATCTTCTTTTCTTTCAATACAATGTGTAACATATATTTACAAACTGACAAAGATGTATATTTTAACCACAGGTTAAAAAACTCTAAGCATTTCAAAAAGAATTATGATGAAAAAAACATTAACCCTTCAAAGTCACCCCCACCCAAAAAATAAAATAAATGGAGTTTAAGTTAGTTTGGCTATTGGATATTTTTAAGCATATGTTATATTGAATACTATGTTCACTGCAAGAGTAAACAGCATACTTCAAAAGAGCACTCTCAAAAACACTAAAATTTTTGTCAAAAGTCCTAAAATTCTTGTGCCTTTACAAGTATATGCCCAAAATTTATTGTGAAATAAGGGAGTAGATTTGTTTATTTAAAGTGTGAAACATCATACAGTTATCAGTGTACATATAATATTCTTACATAATTTTATATGTTAGAAAGGCAGGGACATCTAAAAAATAAAATCCTGCTTAATCCTTATCTTGAACGTCTTGTAGAATGTTGTGTCTACAAGTTAAAAAAAGAACCATTATCTGTTTTGCATCACTTTGAAATTTGATCACACCAAAAATAAGACAAATAGAACATAATATTATCTCTACTGTAGGTACTCTAATATTTTATACTGAACAAATATATTGATAATCCACACACTGTGTCTTTTAATCTCTGACATCACATCTTTTCTATCCATTCACATAACTCTATAGTGGTAGAAGTTGATCAACAAGTGACATAAATTCCATCCACAAATGAGGGTCAATAGATATAAGAAGAATGTAACTGTCATTGGATAAAGGAACAAACGTGTTTTCTTCAAGATTGGCAGAGCTAGAAATAAAAAATTATATATATATAAGTAACACAAAACCTTTAGAGCTGCATGTACATACAAAATGTAAGTACACTTTGGTCTAGGTATTTTACAACCACACAGAAACAAACAAACAAACAAAAAAAAAACATGCAGCCAGTTTCAAAATGATTTCAACAGCTTTCAACTATGCACATGTCATATAAAATCAGTAATTTTAGCAATAACCAATTACTGTTACACAATGAACCTTCTAAATATCTTTGAGTGCTAAATTAACACAAACTAACTGGCCATTGTCAAAATCCACATATCTGAAGGAAATTTCACTAATATTTCAACTTTTCCACGTAATTTTTTTATGTAATCAATAGCTTATCTGGTTATAAAGAGTAATAAAAGGTTAAACATACTTAATTCAGTTTACAGTACTACAGAAAATGGTTTTCAAAGTAGATTGTAATTTGATGGACAATGAAATATTGCATATTTATTTATAAAATAACATTTGTGTGTGTGTGTGTGTTATTTTCTTATAGCAAAGCCACATCAGGCTATCTGCTGTGTCCACCTAGGGGAATTGAATCTCCGATTCTAGCGTTATAAATCCGAAGACTTACTGCTATTGTTAAAGTAGAGAAAATAAGAGATCAAATATAAATTTTACTAGAAAAAAAACTTTTGATATTAATGTTATAGGTTCTAGGTGCTATGCAAATGAAATATTTTTATTCTAAACATGAAAATCACCTTTCACTCAGACTGACTCAGTAAATACTTTAGAAATTCACAGACAAATCTTTAAATCTTTAGTAGAAACACTTTACTCAAACTTTTTTTGCATGTGTTCAGACTTGTAATGTTTACTAAAAGCTTGCCACATTAAATTCAAAGTTTAAGGTCAAGGTTTCTTAGATCGACCAACTTTGTTCTTTTAGGTTTAAAATAGTGAAAGTTATTGTAGTCAGTTAATGTATTTAGGAATAGTCATCACCTTCAAATACAAAGCATCGAGTACACTATATTAAAATGGTTTTTGATATGCAAATCACGTGACAAGCACAGTATGTATAAATCTGTGGAATGAAATGTACCACATTTCATCACTGTTTGACATTTAGGGGGTAGTTTGATGGCACTGTTTGACATTTAGGAGGTAGTTTGATGGCACTGTTTGACATTTAGGAGGTAGTTTGATGGCACTGTTTGACATTTAGGAGGTAGTTTGATGGCACTGTTTGACATTTAGGAGGTAGTTTGATGGCACCGTTTGACATTTAGGAGGTAGTTTGATGGCACCATTTGACATTTAGGAGGTAGTTTGATGGCACTGTTTGACATTTAGGAGGTAGTTTGATGGCACTGTTTGACATTTAGGAGGTAGCTTGATGGCACTGTTTGACATTTAGGAGGTAGTTTGATGGCACTGTTTGACATTTAGGAGGTAGCTTGATGGCACTGAAAATTGATTGCTTTTTGAATGGGTGTGTAATAGCAAATATTCATTCACTCAGATTGTAAAAATATGTTCAGGAATTTAGATATCCTTTTTACTTAATAGAAAGGAATATGGATCAACCAGGACTTCTGATTGTGGCATAAGTTACACATTTATAGTATAATAAGGTTGAGACACAATATCAACTTCCAGCCTCCAGTCTACTCACTTTACTGAGATATATAAACCAAAATGTCAAATCCACATGCCACAACCTTCTATCACATCTTGTCTTTCAGAAAATATTAATAATTCTCTCTCTCACATCTTCCATTAGAGTATTACAACCAACAGAAAGAGATTTAAATTTACTGGTCCTAGAGCCATTGAGATAACTGATTTTGAACAATTCACTGTCATTTTAATTGTTTGCAAGTGTTGGAACTCTGCTTGATCAGGTATGTGAATTATTTAATATACATATTTGAATTAAAAAAATAAATTCTTGAGACCACATTACTGTTGCTAAGAGATAGCCCTAGTGTTTGATGTGGACTTCTATTGTACAAAAGCTTAAAAACGAAAAATATTTCAGGTGTAATTTCTAAATTTATTGATTTTTTTTATGTATATCTTTTACTTATTATTATAAAAGTAACTAAAATGTCAAAATTAGAATTTTATTAGGTTAGATGAAAAAACTTAGATGAAAAAATAAATACATAAAAAAAATCTCCATTACATATGCATGTGATCTGCTTATGCATTATGTTGTTTGAGCTATACCTTTGTTAGGTCATTATTGCTTTGTTATGCTAATTCAGTAATAAGACATGGTTCGAAGAGCAATAAAACAGTAAAATTAAATGAAAGAGTTTGGCAAAAGGTTAGAGGCCTAAAGCTGTTAGGACAGATAACTGTAATTATCTGTTACAATCTGCAATCATTCTAGAAAAAAAAAGTACTTTGATTTTAATTCATATTTTTCAACTTTGTTTCAGTTAGTGTTAGGGTAGAAAGAATAAGAAAATATGAGTAGAAAGTTTTCCTGAAAAGTGTTTGATATTCATTTAGGAGGTCTTAGAGGTTATACAAATTAAATATGAAAACAGTGTCCAAGTGATACCAACTTCACAGACAAATTTTTAGTAAAAATACTTTATTACAATTCTGATTTTTTTTTGTGTGACAGACTTACCAGGTTACCTAAACGATTATCAAATTTCGTGAAGATAGATGCAGTAAATTTGGATTTATGAAGTTAAGGAATAAAGGCAACTATTAGCTTCACAAATTATAGTAAAAAACAAAATGTTAGAAATAGATTTAAATTGAAGACGAAAGAGAGTTTTTCATTTATTCTCTGATGAAAGTGTTTTTTTTTATCAAAGCTAATTTTATGTATTCCGATCTTCAAAATTACAAGTGTGTGAGATTATACCATATTTTCAAAAAACAATTTCCATTTTGACATTTGTTACAAGCCTAATTTGTAGATTTACCTAAGAGAAAAATGTGATTTATTCTTTCCACTTGTTCCAATTATATGTTTTTAAAATGAACGAGTACTGGATCACTATTTATAGTTTTGGATTTTATGTTAAACATTTTGATGTTCAGATTCATATTCTACTGTCCTCTATAGTTTTACACTTAATTCAAATTTTTTAATTTTCTGGCTATAATTAAAATATGCTTAGATTAGATTCTTGCTACTCTGCTCACATGGTTAATTTGAAAAATGAAGGGGGATCTTAATAATTTATTAGTTAATCCAGCTAAAAAATTAGTATACTTCTCAATATGATGCTAGTTTAGGAATATACCCCGAATTTTTATTATTATTATTTTTTTTTTTCATAAGTGCAACTTGTTTATATTTTGATTATAAAATTCACACTGGCTCATAGTTTCGAGGTTGTTATTTATTAATACTCAAGGTTATCTTTTCAGCATTTTCTCGTATGTTTTACAACAGACAATTTTCCATCTGAGTACTGCACTAGTCAAAATTTAACACTTTGGTAATTTTATGTTACATAACATTTGAAGAGTTAATGAGCTTATTACGATAATTTCAAGTTATTTATTAATACTCAAGGTTATCTTTTCAGCATTTTCTCGTATGTTTTACAACAGACAATTTTCCATCTGAGTACTACACTAGTCAAAATTTAACACTTTGGTAATTTTATGTTACATAACATTTGAAGAGTTAATGAGCTTATTACGATAATCTCAAGTGTGCTTTTAACATCTGAAGTTAAACCATGTGTTGCTAACATTCTTTTTACTCTTAACATTCTTGCACCTTTTCTAATTTTTATTACACAACCAAGTTATTACATAGCTCCAAATATTAATAAATGATTACTGCTGTACAGTTTTCTTTTTTCTTTCAAAACTAACAAATTAACATTTGGCATTTGTGCTGCAATCTTTAGTACCTGCTGTAATGCCAGAGACGTAAAATTATATATCCATGTCTTAGAAGACAGGTAACATGACAAATAAAGGACTGCTGGGATCAGGCCAAGTATAGAGGTGACTTTACCTCATCGAGCCACTATGGTAACCATGATGGCCATCCTAGGGCACCTTGAAAATGTCATGGCTAAGGAGGTCATAAATACTCACACTGCCTTGTTGGTCAGACTCTTTACTGAAAGGCCAAAGAAGAAGACCTTAAATAAATACAATGGCAAACCAGCATTGTACTGCCAAGAACATCATGACCCAACAGTTTTTAAATGATAGATGCAACAGCTTGAAGGATTGTTCCAATACCAAAATCATCTCACTCAGTAGAGGATGTCATAGTTCAACAGGCAACACCAGACCATCAAGTTACTGTCCTCATCATAAAGAAAATTAAAATAGCAATGTGGAACATTTCAAAAAGGAAAATTAGACAACATCAAAAAAGAAATGCAAAAAGTAAAAATAAATATATTGGGAATAAGTGAAGTGAGATGAACTGGAATAGGACTAATAACAGATGAACACACAATAATATTCCCAGGTGGAAAAAAGCATGAGAGGAGTTGGTGAAATCTAAGATCAAGACAGAACAAAATGCATATTGGGACATCTCTGAGTGAATTTTACTTCTGAAATTAAAAGGCATGCCACTCAATATCAACATCATAATAATTTATGCACCAACAACAGATTGACCAGAAGAAGACCATGAAAGATTTTATTCAGAACTAGAAAAAGCCATATTTCGTTACAAATTTTAAGCCATCATAATTATACTAGGAAGTGAAAAAGTTGGAAAAAGGTCAGGTAAATGATAATGTAGGACTATACAGATTAGGTATCAGAAATATAAAAGGGGAAAATCTAACAGGATGGGCAAATACTCAAGAGATGTTCATTGGAAATACATGGTTCCAGCAACACCTAAGGCATCTGTGGACATGGAAAAGTCCAGAAGGTCATACTAGAAATCAAACTGATTACAGTTCAATCAATAAAAGGCTCAGAAATGTATTACAGGTACTAAAAATGTATCCAAGTGTTGACTGTAATAGTGATCATGTACCAATATGTGGTACACTTTAAGTTAAACTGATA